AAAGGCAAAGACAGCCACAGACAGAGCTACACCTCGTAAGCCCGACGTGAAAGAGGCCTCCTCATTCATGTTGCAGAAGGAAAATTGGAGGAACCTCCTCCTTCCACGAATCCATTCCGGAGCCTCGTAATTAAAATTAATTGCTTTTCCACGGGGATTGCATCTAGATCTTCAGGGGAACACAAACCGTGCAAGCTCTGATCAATTTATTTTCGGCAGGTTACCACCCACACCGAGAAAGAAGGCATTCGACTGATGGGAATCGTATAACGATTAGCAATACCTTGCTTTTCCGGTTGCCAATGCGGACCAGAACATACGCTCGAAAAAAAGGGCCACGACAATCCGCGTGATCCATGTAAAACGATGAAAAAGGCACAAAAACAGCATTATCCAGGTTGGAAATGAAATGACCTTGACCACGCCCCTCGTCGGGAATGCAGCACATCCGTCATATCCGCATGCTGACCAGCTAAATGAGGAAGTGCGTACCCATGGCCTTTTCCTTCTTGCATATTGACCCTTGCATTCCATGATATATTTTAAGACCTTCCCCACCTGTCCGTGACGGTCATTCTCATCTTCGCATTCGGTCAACTGGAAAGGTCTCTAAACCCATCGGTTATCCGAAAAGTAGTGCTAACTGCAGGTGAAGCAGTAGGATTCCCTCCGTGTGAATGCGAATCGAATCAAATACCTCCAGACGTCTGGCAGACGCGTGTTTCGACTGCAAGCATTTATGAAAAATAGCTTTGAGTTAACCGTCAATACCAGAGCATGTCGATCCAGAAAATTAAAAAATTTCAATATGAAATTATCACCCGATCGAAGCGGAAATTTCCATCCTTGCATCCCAGAATCGATCTACGCGGGAATACATGATGGCATGTAGAAAAGAAGGTGCTACAAAAAATTAAGCGGACGTGAAAACTACGAAGCATCCTTGGAACTGGGTCAAGAGGTATCCAGAGCCAGTGATTTATGTGCCCGACCGACGAGATAGCGGGGGAGGGAGGAAGGTTTCATTCTCCGAATGCCTTCCCGAAGGAGAAAGGCTCCCGCGAAATCCTGCGCATTCCAATTCACTCCAAAGACTAGGGTGTTCTTATTAAATGAAATTCGAAATTGGTACAAATCACTTCCCCTCCTCCTCCCATCCTTTGCCGTCAGGAACATCGTAACGATTCCTTTTCAGAGAAATCGACTCCTCGATGCATTCACCCCGCAGACCTGTCTACGGTTTATCCCTTTTGAAGAAAATCTTTGTGCATCCTGCACATTTTTCGACATGCACATTTTTCATATGGAACATTCCTTTCCTTTCATTGCTTCCTGGCACGTTTCCCATCGTTGCAAATTCGTATAAAGGCCGTGTTTCAATTGTGTGCCGTTTTTCGTCATCACGGGGGAAAGAAGGGAAAAGCAATTAGAGGGACCATGCACAGCTGGAAAAGGCAAGGTCTTCAGAAATATGGCTTCAGAGATCAATTTGTTTTTATCGTCCGGCAGCACCTGCGTCCGGAAACCCGAAACGTTTCCATGGAAATTTGCCCCGCATGTAAGTCAGCCGCTGGGTTCTGAATGAAACCGTCGCGGCGCACCTCACTTTCTCCTCTCTTTCCTTCTCTCCCCCCCCCCCCGAGTCAGAACTGGATCTCCTCGTTTACGCGTCTCGGTCTCTGAAACCCCCAAGATCACTGGACGGAAGAATCGGTAAACGTGCTGCTATATACTCAAGAAGGCGTTTGCGTGCTACAGCCTCTTTTTTCGGCACGCCGTGATGGAAGCGGAACGAATCGCTTCCAGGTCATCCGGAAAACTACAGGATGTATCTCCCACTTTTTGGGCTCACGTCTTTCTCATCATCGACGCAATCGAACCAAATGCGTGTCTGCCCCTCACGAGCCTAATTGCGCTCATCTTCGGAATATTCGCAGGGAAGTCATGATAGACTCGGGCGTTTCGCCATCGAAGTCCCGAAATTTCTTGCTTTGGAGCGGTCGAATTATTCTCATACGGCCGAATAGGAAACTGGGCCATCTTCAAAAGTCCGTAGGATTTCACAATGGGAGTGCACGAAGCATGACAAATACGGAAAATTTTCTATCGTCGAATAATGCCGGATTTCCCCATTGTGACATTTCTATACACGAAATCCATTTTATGGTCTCACGTTTCCCTTGACGCCTTGTACAGTTACTCGCCCGTAAAGAAAGCTCGTCGGCTCCTGAACGCAAGAAAAAATCGAATTATTTATCACGACAAGGTCATGCTAATGATAAGAAACCCTGTTTCTCTTATTAGCGGGACGTGGGAGGAAAACCTTGGTCTAATGGGCCTTCATATTTTGTGACTGGTCTTTATTTTCCCTCGCCGTGGATCCGGCTCGAACTAGTTCTTCAAGGGCTTTTAACCCCTTAAGTGGGTGTGACGAATGTATTTGTCATGGTGAAACGCTTTCAGGTGGGTTTAACGCATTATTTCGTCACGCTAATTTCAAGTTTAAGTTAAATAAAAATTCCAGACCCGAAATAGGAGCATAAACTCGAAAAAAATAAAGTAAATTTCTCGCATAAGCACTAATTTTTACTCTCGCGAAGAGAAGCTCTAACTCCGATGGTAGACTTCTGATCGAGAAATTCCCCAATTAAGGCATTAATTGCACGGCTTTCTCTTTAATTTTCCTGCCACCATTGAAAGCTTCAGTCGACATTTTCCAAGCATTTTGAGATTTTTCCGAAATAAGCAGCGTTTCACATTTAAAAATAAGATGAAAGATCAATCAGTTTATGGGGTGAGCCTGGAAGAACATAATGAAACAGTCGACAAGACCATCTGGTGCCTGACAGCAACTAACTGATACTTTCGACAAGCTCAAGTTAACTCAATCTGGTTCGAAGTTTCGGTTACTTAACTCGATGTTAGCAACGAATGTGTAGATGCATACAAACTCTAGCATATGGAGTAAAATACATTCCACGCGTCTCTGGAGAAGTCCTTAAATCTTGCATATTTTTTTATCAGAATGAAGTGTTACAGAGAATATATCAAAATCCACCAAGCAGTTGTAAGTTTGACGAAGTCGTTGCGTACTTTCATCAGTTCTCCCTCGCGTTGAAACGCAGGCCGTCATCTGGGTCATCTGACAGTTTAATTTCATTTTCGGAGGGAAAAAACCAGGGGACAGCGGGCAGGGAATATCTGTTACACAGAGATGGACGGGAAAAAAGGAACGGGGGAGTGGGAATTAAAGGGTTCTTGTGTCCTGTGTTATCGCTGGGATTCAGGCAAGGGAGACGGGCCAGAACGATCCCACCACTCCCCCTCCCCCTTTCCCCCCTCCCCCTTCCCCCCCTCTCCCTTTTTTCTCCCCTTTTTCCCCTCCCCATTCCTTCGCTCCTTCCCCATATCTTCTCTTTTTTGTTCCCCATCTCTTAAGAAGGTTAGGGGCAGCATCGTAAGATTCTGGCCCTTTTTATATACTGTTGAGCTCATGATTCTGCAATGAAACAATATTGAGCAATTTATCACGTCGTCCAAAATGTATGCATTGTTCCCTTCGGCTTTCAGGCAAGTGTTAATATCATTCATTTACTCGCTGACGTTTATTTATTCAGGAGAGAATGGAAAGAGAACGGCGAAATTCCCCCGAGTGTCAGAAAACATTTTCCTCCGTTCTGTCAAGCTTTCGCCTCGGCAGCCAACAACCGGCATTCCTGCAGCCACTTAATGAACCATCAAGAAGCGAATGAAAAATTTCCTCGACTCCGCACGACCCCCTCGGAATGCAGACGAACCCCGTTTTTCGTCCACGTCATCCGAGCCACCTCCTCCGCATGCGTTCCGCTTGTCGTGCCAAAGCGATTTTGCATTTGCCCGGATCGATACGGTGAATCGAAGGTGAACATTCCAGTCAGCATGATTCGTGCCTGCGTCAGCAGCGTTTATCTTCGGCCGTTCGGTAGCCAGCGCTGATCAGGCACACGAGCCGATATGATACCGGTATCAAGTGACGAGGAGGAATTCCCAAGCCCGAAAGGGGAATGGAGTGCCCATAAAACCGTTTAGTAATCATCTGTAGAGAACTATTCGTTCGTAGAAGGTCGACATTTTTTCCCTTCAATTTCTGAGTTCAAGGAGACGTACTGTACTTAGTTCACGTGTTGCGGTTTCGTGCCGGTTCTCCCGTCAAGTAATACGCAACCTCAGCCTCACAAATGGGAAATTCCCGGTCGAGAAGTTCCACACGTGACATATTTTCTCCGGATACTCTATTTTTGCTCGTTTCTATGCCTTCCTGAAATCGCGTGAGGTCGCTCGAGGGAATGCTCTTCTCGCGTGCCGTCTCTGTTATTTCTCTGGAGAAATCTTCCGTGGGACCGGCGAGATTCTAATGTCAAATTCGTGCTGAGACGGTTCAGAACCCGTTTCCTCCTCGAGGAAAAAAAAAAAAACCGAATGTCCATCTCCGACCGGGAGATAATGAGAGGTTTGGTCGAGGCGGATCTAGGGGCCGTCAAAACGGACGAGTGATCACGACAATCCCTGCCTCTTCGTGTTTTCCTTCGTTTCCTTCTGATGTGTCCTCGGGACCGGTCCTCGTTAAGCACCATGGGCGTGTGTTTTTCGCCTTCACGGTACTTATGGCCGGCACATCGTGCATTTCGATAGACGTGCATTCGACGAACGCGGAGAAAGTGACACACTCGAGTCACATGTCGCCGAGAGAATAAAGAGGGAATCGAGATTCTTCTCATGCTCGAATGCGATTGCACAATCTCTACGAGCATCCGTCCCTGCTCACATTTTTCACGTCGTCGACTGCGACCTTTTCTGCACGAGTAAACGATTTCGTATTTATGCGAGTGAAACGCCGCGATGCTACCGGAGAGAAAGTTCCGCGATAACTTTTCCGAACGATACCGCGAGCACATCGCAGTCGCGATGAGGAATTCGGGTGGAATCTCGGATCGCGCGGAAGGACAGAGAAAAGGACCGACCTGGCCTTGAAGCCGAGGACCTCGGACACGGTGGGGTTCGGTTTCTTCTTCTTGGTGAACTTGACCGGCCTGAGCTTCCGGTCCACGGCGCCCTTGACCACGAGGAGATTCACGAGATCACCGAAGTCTTCCGCGACGACGGGATCGACCGACGCGATTTCGTTCGTCACGGGGTCGATGGGAGAACCGAGTACCGGCGGCTGAGCACCCGCCCCCGATTTCGGATCGGAAGCTTCTCTGGATCCGTTGAGACTCTTCTGCAGGACTCGCTTGCGGAACGCGACCATCGCACCCGACCGAGCGTCCGGAGCCACCAGGTTCTCCAAGAAGCCGAGACTCGACGGAGAACCGCCGCCGTTCTGGGAGACTTGAACCACCTCGATGTTGAGGACGAGGACGACGGTGAGGAAGACGAGTGTCGAGAGGATCCCGACCACCACCCGTTCCTTCAGCTTCATCTCGGAGTCGGCGGAGGCGTGAACCCTGGATCCCGATTTCCTCGATCCGGACGCCCTCACGGTCGCCTCTGACGGCCGGCTCTCACGAATCTGCGGCAGGAGCGGAAAGACGACCGTTCACGATCCATCTCGAAGCGGCGAATGAGGGGCCGGCCTTCCGAGGCCAGGCGACCGACTCCCGCCGAGACCGATCGGGAGGGAAGAGCGAGAGAGAAAGAAAAAGGAGAAAGAAGGACTCGTAAGAAGGACACTTCTCCGATGCGAGCTTCTCCGTCTCTTCTATCTTTCACGGGCAGCTGACTTCCTCGCTGCATTTTGCGTCGTCGTATTCTCTCCTAAATTGCGATGCCGTTTTCGGCTTAAAAAAAAAATGCAATTTACTGCGGGTCGACTATCGATCTGTATGACAGAGACGTTTTTCATTATTTTTCCAGGTGGAGAATACGCACTAATGAAATGAATCTCTGAATTCGACTTTTTTCATCGGTCTTCGCTCCTGTCAACTCCCTTCACGCATCATCGACAGTGCATTGAAAATTGCCCAGAAATTCATCACCGAGCGTCTATCAATATCTACGAACCCCTACGAGCAACACCCCCGAATCCCATTCGTTTCTATTAATGGCCGCGTGGCAGGACGCTGTCGATTTATCGACTCGAATTTGCAATTGCAATATTGCCAGTGTTTATCTTCTCCGAAAGCAATTCCCTCGAATTCAAAAATGGGTACGGAAAGCTGCATTCGCCCAATTATCCCGCTAAAAAAAAAAGTCGACGAAGTCCAGAGACGCATCTGACGACGGACAGGAAATAAAAACTCCATGACGCATTGAAAATTGATTGGAAGGTCCGTTTCCCCTTAACACCGACCCGAAAAAGAAAGGGCAGGACTTTCGTGCGTCGGCATATCGAGATGGAATCTCATCCGGCATCGAAGGAACTCCTCCGAAGTTTTCCAAGAAATCTCGCGAAACGGCCCTCGAACACGAATCGTTCGCTGCAAGTCCTCCGAGACGAGCGCATCACACGACAAGGACCGCTTAGACGACACGAGAGACATTTTGCGAGCATAAACGCGGGATGACTCGGAGGCACGTGGAAACGTCACGGGGTCTTGCTTCCAGGGGCGTTTCCTTTTTTTTTCTTTTTTTTTACCCCTTTCCTTTGTTTCTCCTTCCTGCCCCTAATCACGAGAGGAGAATCGCGGCTCGGATGCGCTCATCATCGATTACGGGTTCGCGTACGTTGAAGTGTGCAGGAAGCGGCCATCGACGAAGTACGTGCTGGGAATACGACTTCGTCCCTAAATCCGACGCGGAAGAATTGATACGACAGAAGCCTCCCCGCCGCGGCGGGGAGGCCTGCTGGGTGGCGCGAGGCGGCGTTCGCGACGCTCTCCAGTTTTTCGCTGCGATCGTCGAAATACGCTTGACTTACGCGATTTTGCGATTGCACCTGAAATTTTCAACTACGGTAATAAATTAGAAAAGATAAAAATAGCGATGTCGTGCCGAGGAGGCATTGCGAGAGAAGGAGAATTCCGGCCAATGATTGGAATGATAAATTTTTCCTGTATTCATAAATAGAAAGTTCATAATGTATTATTTCTTTCCTTTTTTTCTTCTTTCAGTTCCTGAACCAATCGAAAATAATTTTTTCAATTAAACACACGAACGGATTGAATTGGATTGGATGTACCATAGACAACTAGGGACTTCTTTGAGGCTTCTCTGAAACCATGTCGTGATACTTGAGTTGAATTATTTATTAGTTTTTTAAATTTCGTTAAGGCTGCCAACTTTAATCGATAGACCGGTTACTCGATTTAAGTTTTAGCCGCAATGCAACAAATAGGTCATAACTAATTTAATATTGATAGACCCCTAATATCTCCTCAAATGCCTGCTTTTCTCTTCTAATTCCACAGTTTCACAAAAAAATACACATTCTTTTTGCGCCTGGAATCCCATGAAAGATGGTCTGTAAAGGGCAGTCGTTTTTGCATGGCTCATTCTTCATTTTAAAAAATACGCAGATTTGCGTTCAAAAAGGGAAGCACGGAAACAAACGCGATGCTCCCTGGATGATACGAAAGGAAGCGAGGACCTCTTGAAATGAAAAAGAAAACCCATTTCCAGTTGATTCTGAACGGTTACAGCCGCCCTGCAGGGTCGCAGTACGTGCAGGGAATTGGGTAAATTTGAATGAACACGTCACAGATGAGGACAATGGGAGGGAAAAGTCCATCCTGCCTGCTTTCCTTGGCCTTCCAGGCAGCAAGTAGCGCGTAAGAACATTGAAATGCAGGAAGGAGGTTCGGGGTTATACTCTTTCCTCCAGAGCATCCCTCGTTCTCCGCCTCCGTCTCGTTCTTCCTCTCCTCTTCTGCTTCTCTCTGCCTCGTTCGTGAGGCGAGGTGCTTCGAGGAGGCGAGGTGCTTCGAGGAGGAGAGGTGCTTCGAGGCCCTGTCTATCGGAGACTTTGTCCGCCTTAATCTCCTTGCGATCGTGACTCGGCTCGTGCGAGGACGAGGTGTCCGCACACCGACGCGGCTCGGCGAGGATTTTCTCCATTATTTATTATGCCGTGACGTGCAGGTCTGTCGATCCCTAGGTAACGGCTTTTACACCAGTATCTATAGGTTTAGCCTTGGCTGCTCGTGAAACAATCCTCTCGAGTCCGCTCCGATCAGGGTTCACTTATTCACGGTCCCATTCAAAGCAATGGGATATCATTTCAACAGGAAAGGAACGATCCCATCCGCGTCGGTACACAGCCGACCTAGTGACGACATTTTTTTCAAACTGCTGGACGATGAAATCACGAAGAAACTGCTGTCTCCAAATACGATAGATTTCCTAGTTTTTCATCGGGCGGAATAGACAGGCAGAGGATGGTGCTACTAATACGAGCTGCAGTTAAGTTACACGACCACGACGAGTGATTAGGGCGAGCTTCCGTCAAAGAACGAAAGAAAAGTGAAAGAAAGAAAGCAAGAAGACAATAGGAAGACCGACCCCACAAGAACGAAGAACGACTCTCTCTTCCCCCGCGCAATACCCCAGTGTTTCCCTTCCTCGTCCACCCGTCGAGCCAGCCAGGGCGCCCATGGAAAGCAGACGCCCTGGACTTTCCCAACACTTTTGTCCCCGTCGTTTCTCGAGTCAAATATTTCAAGTCATCATTTCTCACGTCTTCCACTCGGGCCGACCCGAATCCGTGCACGTTTTGGGGCTGGCATTGCACGGCTCGACGACGGCTTCTCGGAATCGAATCGAAAAAGGTATACGAAGTCGAACGCCATATGCTGGGAGGAAGGTAGCGGTTGGATTAATATATTAATATTTCATCGATCGACCGATTAATCGATTAAATAGCTGAATATTAACCGACTAACATTTTAAACCGATTGAAAGCCCTTTTTTAAATTCGTTTAAATAATGTTGAAATATGTCGTAGGCGAAAGGAAATATAAAGGTCATTAAAACTGCAATTACAGGGATTTCCGTCGGTGTATGTAGGGCACACGAGAGAAATATTGTGTATATAAAGCTTTTTTTTAACGAAAAGGACGAGAGAAAACCACTCTTGAGATTCGACATGATATCAAATCTTATCTGTGCAACTTTCCCTGGAAATGACAATAATGAGGACTTCTCTTTCTTGGACCGGTCTCGTGGGTCCTCATTTCCTGTTCCCCTCAGGATTAGCAACGGTCGTCGCAAGCAGATGACGTTTATGACTTTCCCCGAATAGTCGTGACTGGGGATCCGCGCGTTTCTGCCTTCGTGCTGCTCGCGATATATTATGCCGAGTGGCAACTGGGAGCCCCGATATTAAAACGATAGCTGGAGACAATGAGTTCCACCCTGACGTTGCGGCCTCTCACAGATCTGCGGCGACTGTGCACTCCCCCGACGAGACGACACGAAAATGTTCGATGGAGCCGAAAAAGGAGCCGCGGAGGACCACACAGTCTGGACCGCATCGCGTGGGCCTCGAACGTCTCAAGGCCATCATTAATGGGGGAAATCGCTTCCCGGTTTTTTGTAAAAGCGATTCGGGAATAGCTTCCACATTTGCTGGCTGTGCTGGGCACCGATGGGGAACACGTGAGCCGACTGTGTGTGTCTTTCGTATCCACGATGAAGAATTTCTCCTCCGTTTCGTGTCGATACGAAATCGGTTTTCTAGTCCGCCTGCATGTGCTGCCGCGTGATACTTTTTTAATGAGCAGTCCCCGAGTCGACCTGAAAACCTGGCGTTTAAACCTTTCTTTACGATTAGAAGTGAGCAGGTTATGAAGTGAGTCGAGCAAGTTTGGGAAGCTTTAGCCGTCGAGTTAATGACCCGATAGGCAACAGAGCTGACCTTAATCCACATTCTTCCGTCATCTTTAAACACGAGAACTTTGAGAAAATTTTGAGAGATTTCAATTTCGACTCTTCTACTGTCAAATTTTCTTCCCTTTGTGGGTGCCGTTAGAGAGAGGAAGCAATCCTTCTTGGTAAATTTGAGGCAACAAAGGCCAAAAAGCCTCGAGGATGAAGATCTCGAAGGCATTTTCCTCTCAAGATCGGGCAGATGCAATCTCTAAAAGTCCTTATCGCACTATAATAATTATAATAAATGGTCGGAGAACGCAACCTTGCGGTTTCGCTTGCCTCGGCGTAGCCGAGTCCACACTGTCCCAGTTACACGTTTGTTTACGAACGAGAAGACAATTATTATTCACTTGGCGTGTCTTGAATCGAGCAGATGCGAAGAGATGGGTCAACGGACGCGAAACTCCCTGTCGCGAAGGATTTCTCATCGATATCTACGTTCGGTCGGAAACGGCAGCGTGGAAAACGTTCTTCCGCCCTTCCACCTTGCCTGGATCCCTCCCGACAGTTCGCGTGCTGTTCGTGACTCGAATAGAAACGGAAGTCATTTCACTTACGAGGCTAAGGCATGACGCGTTCATCCGTCGTACCTACGGGTAGTTTCTTGGAATTCTCGAGCGACCGAGCTTCGTCCTGACGCAATGTTTATTCAAAAAGTAAGACTTGATGAAATCGTGCTATACTGTGCTCAAACAACGTTACATGCCGATACAGTGCCAACTTGGGATGCTCCATTTGCTGAATTCAACATTATTTTGAATTAGCCCCCCCCCCCCCCCCCTCCCCTCCCTTCCCCTATGTGTTCGTAGGGGGAAAGCAGCTATAGATTGACACACACAGAGACCTTATAAATTTGAGGTCGTCACCCTCGAGGAAAGATGGGAACCAGGGAAAAAGAATTTCGCTGTTCGCCATAACTCACAAGAGAGAGAGAACTCACGGGAAGGTTGCTCCGACGCATACCATCAATGTTACTACATCACCTCATTTTTCGCGATCCCGAACGAATCGCAGCGAGAAGGACATGCAATACGGAAGGGAAGCTCCCGAACGCAAAACTGGCACGGAGGCGAAGAGGCACGCCGGCTCTGCATCGTGCCAAGTGAAGGAAAAAGCCCATTTACGAGATGGAAGGGGAAAAAAATGGAATAGAAGTCCTGGCAGGAGCTATTTTCGGGAGTGGAACACGAAAGCGTTTCCTCCCTCCCCTTGTCACCGACGACGACTCGTCGGGGCGGGGACCACATGCACACGAGTGAAAGGATGGGGAGTCATCTACTAAACGAGGCACACCGTCGGACGAAACCGCACGTAAAACGGATGAAAAACAACGGTTCGACCCATCGAGGGGGGCCGAGAGGGGCCGAGGGGGGCCGAGGGGGGCCGAGGCGAGCGTAATTTCATCGGTGAAAAATGAAAGCGAAGGTCGGGCCGCTCTTTCAGTCTGCACGCGTCAACCTCCATATCGAGTTGCGGGCCGACGATGTGGAATGATGCCGGGATCGATGGGGAACTCGGTGCTCTGTCGGCGATTAGGCACGGAAATGCCGGCTCTTCCCGATTATCTGTTGGGCTTGTCGGCTCGATGGCGGTTGGGATCGAGGGTGAATTTGGGGGCTGGCGTGCTCTGCCGTTGGGAGAAGCACGAGTAATGGTACTCTGCCGTGCTTTGGAACTGCTGGGTGTTTTAAGCATTTTGTTGTGTCGCGTCCACGTTTTTTGGACGGTTCTGACACGTTTCGGACCGCGAAACACTAGAGTCACCGTCTGCAATCTGAAAGTTGTCCTGTCCGGGAAAATGGACATTGTGTTCTGGTGCAAGTTGTTCTGTATAGGGGCTGCAGAAAAAAATTGTGAATTTAACGGATATGTTAAAATAGCCTATTAAAGTTCCTCTAAATCTTGTGACATCGACGACTTTCAGCATTTAATTATGTCCTGCATTTTTTTTCCTCCCAGGTGCAGAGGGTCGACTGCGAAGAAGTCGCCTTCACTCTCACACGAGCCAACACAACCTATTCCTCGGCTATCACAGCAACAGCGGCGGGACCAGCTCCTCATCGTCCAATAACGGCAACGCATCGAGCGGCAACAATGGCAACGGCTCGTCCAGCGATACAAACGGGCACGGTGTTCGTCGTCACGCCTCTGTCCCTTTAAACGGCAACCCCTGGGAAGACACCGGCATGTCCCCTCCCAAAACGGGTGAGTCAGAATCAAGCAGCTTTACGATCGTTCTAATGCAGTGGTCGTTGACTCATCCTGGTTTTATTCCTTCATTTTGGAGCAGAACGTGGAGGCGAGGGACTGCTGCCTCCTCCTGAATCAGAGGATCCCCCTCCTCCACCCCCTCCACCCCTGCCCCACCGGCCACCCCCACCGCCAGCAGGAACCGAGCTCCCACCCGGAACTCCCATCCACCCGTACAAGGAGAGCATGGGGATGGACGCGGACGTCTCCCGCGACTCCGTCTTCGCCGCGGCCCAACCGATCGTCAGCGACACCGCGTCCAGTAGCAGCTGGTCTCCGTCGGACTCGACCGGCTCCAACGGACACGGTCATTCGTGCACGTACGCGTGCGCCAGACAGGGTCACTGCTACAAGTTCAAGACCAACATCAAGCGGCGCTTCACGGCGACGATGGAGCAGGCCCAGCCGGGCCCTCCCCGCTGGGGCTACGACCCACCGTCGAGCGGCTACAGCACCTCCTCCCACAGAGGAGGAAGCGGGAGGCAGGACTTCGTCGTCTACCGGCCGCAGAGACCCGCTTCGCCGACGGGCAGTCGCATCGCCATCTTCGCCCTCCACCCGAAGGGAAGCTACTACGTTCCGTTGACCCTCGACGAGCGACTCGTCTCGTCCAAGTTAGCCTCCTTTTCCGACTCCAATCCCATCCTTCATCCGATCAGCATCTCCGTGAACTTCTGCGGGGCGGTCGCCGCCGGTCAGGTCCCCACTTGGACCGTGGACCTCGCGTCGGTGTTCGTGCCCAAGGCCGGCTCGGGACCCGAGCCGCCGATGGACACCGAGCCCAAGGCCGAGGACCTTTCGGTCTCGGAAAGACCGGATTCGGGGGCCGAAAGTTGCCAGTACAGACCGTATCAGCGTGTCGTCGCTTGATGTCGCGGGTCGTCCGTGTTCATAAGCGTTCATGTTCGTCGAAGTTTTTTCGTGTCGTGATGTTCATTCGGTCGTGAAAGCGTCCATTAGCAATGGGGTCGCTCGGGTCTTCGCTTCCCGATGAGTTGGATGCTCATTTTCGAGAATTCTTGTATCGATTTTGTATGTTCGTTGTTTTACACGTTGAGATTCGTGTATTTTCTAAGTTACGACTGGCAGTGATGGGCAAGTAACTCCCTGAAAGGAACTAGTTATCGTCGCGAGTATTAGGTGATGATAGTAATTACTTACCAGGTAGAGTTTACAGGGAGCAACAGTGCATTGCCTAAACAGAGTTATCATTTTCTTGAAAATAGCAATAGAGTTTCCAGGAGAAAAATTGGCGAATTGGCAAATCGGCTGAAAGTTTCGTGCAATTCTATTTTCTTCTGCTCGTTTCGCTATTGGACACGGACAGAATGGCATGAAATTTAAATTATCCATGGACTCGATGATAATCAGGAAATAGGGATATTTAAATTCTCCATTTAGATCATCTCAATTTAATGGAGAATTTAAGTAATACATTTAAGCAAATCGGTTACTGCCCATCACCGACGGATGGAAACTATGTCGTTATGTTATCGAAAGGAGTATTCTCCATGCTAAAAAAAAAAAATAATAATAGAAAGTGGTAGCGATCGGATCGTCTCGGTGTCACTGTGTAAAATTTTCACAGGGAAAAATTTTCACCGTCGGATGGAAGAAAATTCGCCTGGAGGAAAAATGCGGCGGGCTGTTTTGCTGCACCGAATTCGTTTTTTGCAATTATCAAGTCATTGCGGAGGGTTAAAGAGATTCAGAGATGAAAATTTTTTCTCTGTGAGATTCCCTGCATGTTGGCCGTGTCTTCATTTGCTCCCGTGTCATGTTTCGCTGGTGGGCGCTGGGGGGCGCTGGTGGGGGCTGGTGGGCGCTGGGGGGCGCTGAAGGGAAACGATTCTTTGTGTGTTCTGTCTTCGTGTTCCTGAGATTGGCAAAATCGTATTTTGCGTTAAGTTTCGTGGAGGACTTTCAACGGTCTTCCAAGAATTCAGAGGGTAAGGCAGAAAAAAAAAGTTTTTTTTTTTTTTTTTTGAACCTCTTTCTCCAGGAATCCAATTGAGAAAAGCGTCGGTAGGTGCTGGAAATAATTGCGATCTTCCATCGAAGGAATGGAGTTTTCCGGAGCTTGACAGAACTTGAATTCTTGATGAAAAAAAAAAAAAAAATTTCTCCTTCTGCCGTTTCCATGCAGCGACGTTCGCAATTTTGCAGTTTTCCTCGCCGAAATTTCTCTCTGAACGTCGCGACCCACCCAGTCCCAATCGATTCTCCTGGCGAAAAACAACCGTAATAAAAACCTGTTCAGCTCGTCGGCGTTTCACTTCCCAGACTTCTTCAACAACGCCTTCAATTTTTATCATTTTTTTTTTAATTAGGAGGACTACTTCCGAACGTGCGCTGTTCTCATTTTGGCGGTTTTAGAGAGCGAAAAATGCATCGCGAGGAAGTTAATAATGGTGTCCCAAAAGCAAACTCGTGGCATCGTAGCATCGTTCAGCGAAAATCCACAAAAATTGGCATGCATATGGATTTTGACAAAGGTTTTTTTTTTTTTGTTTGGTAAGTTTTATTGTTCTCAGTTGAATTCTTTGACAGTTAAAGTAGCGAGAGTAAAAAAAAAAAAATTAAACCGATCGCCTCGTCCCCAAGACGCCCAGGCAACTTCGGTTTGCGGGGGCGTTTAAATCAGCTGGTGTACCGGAAGTGGCTCAAAGATCTGAACTCGAGTTTGCTTACTTTCAGGGAGAGGCTGGATCTGGTCGCTTAAAATAGTGGCGTGCACATTGAGGGCTTTAATCGATGCAGAGACGATGAAATGATTTGATAGTTTGGTAAGTTAAAATTTTAGTAACGAAAGTAACCAGTTATCGTCGCGAGTATTAGGTGATGTAATTAGGTGAGGTAATTACTTACCAGGTAGAGTTTACAGGGAGCAACAGTGCATTGCCTAAGCAGAGTTGTCATTTCCAGATGGCTTGAAAATAGCAATAGAGTTTCCAGGAGAAAAATTGGCAAATTGGCAAATCAGCTGAAAGTTTCGTGCAATTCTGTTTCCTTCTGCTCGTTTCGCTATTGGATACGGACAGAATGGCATGAAAAAAAGATTATCCATGAATGTGATGATAATCTGGAAGTTGGAAGAACATTGCTAAAATCTCCGTAACGAAGAACTTAATGATGATGGTGCGTTACTTTCGCTCGGTTGCTGCCCATCACCGACGGGTGGAAACTATGCTGTTATGCTGTCGAAAGGAGTATTCTCTATGTTAAAAAATCAAAAGTTCATCAAAGTTTAAAGCTTATTGCTTTCAGAAGTAATCGGATCGTGTCGGTGTCACTGTGCGAAAGCAGGGAAAATTTTTCACGGTCGGATGGACCCAGGGAAGAAAATTCGCCTCGAGGAAAATTGAGGCTGCTTTGATGCACCATATTTGAATCTGCAATAATTGTCATTACAGATGGTTAAAGAGATTCAGAGATGAAAATTTTTCCTCTGTGAGATGCTCTGCATATTGGTCGTAACTAGAAAGCCTAATAGAGCCTAACCGTATAATATCTACCTAATAGGAATTTATTAGCGTAACTGGAACGGCTTTTTGCCTCCTAATAGAGAAAATTTCAACAGATTCCTATTATAGATCGGGACCTCTAATAGAGAGATAATAGCGTTGATTTAATAGACCTCGTCATTGTGATTTCTTCTTTCATTGCATCCAATTACTGGACGAGTTACGAAGACGCACTCGTAGAAAGTGATATCTTTCTGTAAGCCTTCAAGTCCTCATTGCTCTGAGATATTATGCAACAGGAGATTTATTCCGTGAAGCTGGTGACCTCGTTGGTGTGACAAGGATGACTATTTCTGATGAGCCATCAAGGATGTATTAGAATTAGTAATTATTAATTAATGTATTAGAATTAATGCATTAGAAGGATGTATTAGAAGTCCTGTGCCAAAGAGCTAATGATTCCATTTATTTCTCCGAAGAACCCAGGGAACAGAATGCCATAAAGCAAGGTTTCTTCGCCATCGTACAGTTCCTAACTAGTCCTTGGTGCAACTGATGAAAGTCAAATTTCCATCAAGGCCCCATCTGCGGATGAGGAAGTTTACGTGAACAGAAAATTCTTTCATTCAATCAACGTTAAAGGCACCTGCAACTCTGATCTTATCTTCACGAATATTGTTGCCAAACGTCCAGGAAGCACTCATGACAGCTTCATCTGGAATACACATGACGCCAAAATGCGATTTGAGAATGGGGATTTTTGGGAACGGATATTTGCTTGGTGACAGTGGCTATGCTCTTCAAATGTGCTTGTATTGAAATATATTATTATTAATATTATTAATACATATTGAAATATTGTCCCTCTTCTTCCGAGAGAAAGTATAAGAAAGTTCTCTAGCAGACAAGATGCATCATCGAACGTTGTTTTTGGGGTTTGGAAGTCGGATCGTTGCAAGTGGCACCTGAAAATGGTGCAAAATAATTGTGACCAGTGCCACAATGATTTTGTCCACATGTGCAGAAGAGCTGGAGTTCCAGACCCTGACATCGAGTCGGAAGATGCTGACTTGGGAAGCTCACTTGACGCACCTGCATCAAATAGTGCCGAGACTTTTCGATACAGTGTTTTCAAAGTTTAAAGTTTAGATAAAGTTTTCAAATTCTGTCGAGGTTAAGGGTGGATTTTTGAACAGAGAACTATCCGATAATGCAGCTTTATTCCAGAGAAAATGCATTATAAATCCGATAAACGAAGCAGCATTACCGGATATTGCTCTGTTCAAAAATCCACCCTAAATATTTTTCTCAGACAAAATAATTAGGAACAGCCACAACATATTTTAAAGGGCTGTTTAAATGCCCTATTAGGGTGATATTATATCCACAGATAACTGGATGCTATGAGTCCAATATCATGCGTTCCAGTTACGCTAATAAATATCCTCTAATAGCAGCATAACAGCGTCATGATAAATAAGACTCCCCCGGTTATTTGACATCCCCCGGTTAATGCAACCTTTTCCTGCCATCACCGACGCGCGTTTTCCTCCTCGGTTCCATTCGCAATGAACTTGGAGCCTCCATGGACAAATGGGGAGAGTAGCATTGACCAAAAATCCGAGGATGAATGTTGTCAGTATTTGAACGGGAAAGCTGTAACTAGATGAAATTCGTGTATTTGAATGATTTTAACTTCGGTCTATGCCGAGAGCAGTCGAGAATTCGATCATTGCAATTCTTCAGCCTTCAATTCGAGCCGTCGGATGTGGAAGACCAGAGAGGCAAGTCATTCCTGTCATTCCATTCTTGTCATTCCTGGATTGATCGAAAAGAATGCTTCAGACGGAACCCACCGACGGGAAGGTCGCCTGCCGCGAGAGACATCTGGTGCCGATTGGGCGAAACTGCGGAGGGGGGGTGTCCGGCCCGAAGACCTTAAGCCAAGAAGACTGGGCCTTCTTGTGGCGGTGCCTCTGATGTCGGAGAAACCTCCCGGCCTGGTGGCTGGATCTGGAACTACGCGGAACCGACCAATGAGATCGTCGGATTGAAATGGCGCGTGGGAAGTGGCTCGCGCGTCACGGTGCGGCTCCTACGCGCCGTGCCGAGAGGAGTGCGGCCGAGAGGAATGCGGCCGAGAGGAATGCGGCCGAGTGGATGGAGAATTTTTCTTTTTTTTTGCGTCGATTTCTCGCTGATACGGAAAGGCAGGCGGACGTGGTCGATGGGGATTTGCGGTGGTTCTTTACCGGACCGGAATTTAGGTCGCTGCCGAAAAAGGTCAAAAACCTCAGCCCTAGACCTGTGGCCGCGGCCTATGGACGAAATAAAAGACCCTTTTAGTCACCATAATGGGCCAAAACAACAAAGGTCAAATTTATGCGTCTCGGATTGTCTGTTGGGCATATATTGCTCCCGGTTTTATTTATTTATTTATTTATTATTATGGTTAATTTTTTTCTCCCTGACGGAATCATACAAATTGTCTGACCTGAATTTGTTTCATCCAATCAAATTCTCGAATCCGGAAGAATGCTGAAGAAATTTCTCCCGAATAATCTTTTCCAATTGACGTCACATCACCGCAAACTTGGGCTTTCGAAGATATTTCACCCGGTCGGCGCTAGATGTCTCTCGCGCATGATTTACATGTTCCGCAAGAAGGGTTCAATAATTTATTCAGGCTTCTTTGCGTTGCCCCACACGAGTAACATTAATTTTCCACTGCCTTTATATATAGGGATGTGCCGATTATCGCGATATCGCGATATCGTTCGATGTTAGTCTTATCGGCGATGCGTTTGCATATCGCGATATTTAAATTTTGGAAATAATATCTTTTTTTTTTCTCCCCTATTGTCCCCGGGAGAGGGGAAACAGATCACACAAACCGATTGACCATCGGCCTTGACAAAAACTTGGGAAAAAAAAGAGGGAGTTAGTGCATAATCTGAGGTTTGCAATCCTCCAATTTCTTTTCCTGGAAAATTTCCTGACGGAATGATGGAAATCAGCGCTAGGATTCAGTCAGCCCGTGAGAATGGCGAAACCACGGCCAATTTTTTTGCGGAGGGAAAAGAGCTGGAAAGTCTGCGATGCGGAATGCGAATTTATTCTCGCCGCGAATGCAATACCCATCCGGAATGTGCAAAGGCAGCCGCCAAAAAAAAAACGCTCCATTTTTTTTGCAACTTCTGTTTGGGACGAAGAAAAATCGGTTCTCGTGCTCGATAGGAGGCACCCGCCGCTCGCGAACACCCGCGAATTTCCGCCCCGCGCGAGCGACTCTTCTCGAGATGAGGATTTCTCGCAAGCGAACATCGCGCACGTTTCGCGACAGAGATCGTCG